TAATTTATTATAAATAAGCACTTTTACATATTTGTAAATCAAAATCAAGAACAAAGATAACATATTTCCATACACGAACCTCAACACAAGTAATGACCACTTTTACTCACATTGTTCTTGTTCTTGCCATATCGGTTGTGGTGCTACTTCCGTCGACCACTATGGCCGCCGAATATGTGGTGGGAGATGATAGTGGTTGGACCATAAATTATGACTACCAAGTGTGGACTAAAGACAAAGTTTTCTATGTTGGCGACAAACTAGGTGAGTTGTGTATCATAGTGTCACTTTATCTCTAAATATTATTAAAAGAGAAACCTTATAACATCATCTTAAACAATCTGCGCTCTTGATTGTATTTCAATCTTATTTTTTCCACCCTTAGATCAAATTGCTGACATCATCTTCCTTAAATGGAATGTATTTAATTTCAATAAATGATTTCCAATCGTCAAACAATAACTTACATTCATTGAAATGAAATGTATTTAATGCCAATAAAAGTTTTCCATATTTTAAATCTTGAATTTTCGGTTATGAAGGTTTTAATATGGTTTATTTTAAAAGCACGTTACAAACAAACCATTTCAATCAAGACATTAATATCAACCATTGATATAAATCCGTTTATATTACTAAACCATTAATAAAAAATCTATTTTTATTAGGAAGTCATTAATACCAAAAAATCATATTCAAATTATCACATACATATACGATTCATCCTTGAATCCGCGGCTCACACTTATTTTCAATCGTTTCTTTTCTTCAAACCTTTTTCTACAACATCATTCTTATTGCTTATAACTTTCATCATCATTCTCTGCTTCAAACATTGGTTGTTGTACACTAGAAGGTCAGTACCTTCTTTCGCTTTTTATATTTTTTCGATTATTTTTTTGTTCCTATATCAAATATCTGTATTAACATATTTCGATTTTCTTTGTCACAAATTACATAAAATCAATTAACTATTTTTCTGAAACTTTTCAAATAAATAGGAAAATATATTACGTACTTTTAACAAAACAGAAATTAACTATCTTGAGAACTAACACTAATTACGAAAATGATACTTTTATATATTAGAGATGATTATGTTTTTTTTAAAATTTTATGTCATAAGAATCCGGTTAATTTTGGTATGATTTTAAAATATCATTGAAATTATTATGTTTTTGTATATCATAACAACCTACTTTTTTATCTTTATATAGTAACAATAAAATTTATAAATTTACACAACAAATATACATATTTCGAATTTTGTAGTATTATTATACCTTACGAAATACAACTCCCTCCAATATAATTTTCGCCAGTAATTTCATCCATAATTTCACCCAATTTAAATTTGTATTTTCTTTATATAAAAATTTTTAATGATCTTGATTTTTTTCCTCAAAAGTATATCAAACATTTATGTCTTAGATAATGTTGCCCATTTATAATTATTACTTTCCAAAAATATATCCGTTTAATGAGGAATTTGATTTACTGAAGGAAGTAAATGTTAATTAAAACGAGATATATATTCCATAATTATTACACGGGTTTATTAAAAAAAATTAATATCACGGTGTAAACATTAAGCATTTTTAAAGTGAAATTTCAAAATTCATACAAACGATGATGTTGTACAATAAAATATAAAATTGAATAGACTGAAAAAAAAACTATCAAGACAGTCAATCTTGAAAATAGCATAGTTATGAAAAATTATAAAGTATAATAAAAATTATAAGATATTAGGAGATTTGTAAAAGGTACAATTAGTAAAAGCGTTACGGTTATTAGAAAAAAATAAGACCGTTAAGATTAGTAAAAATGCAATATATAAACTAAATTATCACAATATTAATGAAATGTCATTATTTGATATTTCATATAATCTCTAAATATTATTAAAAGAGAAACCTTATGACATAATCTTAAACAATCTGGGATCAAATTGTTGACATAATCTTCCCCAAATGGAATGTATTTAATTCCAATAAATGCTTTCCAATCGTCAAACAATAACTTGCATTCGTTGAAATAAAATGTATTTAATTCTAATAAAAGCTTTCCATATTTTAAATCTTGAATTTCCGGTTATGAAGGTTTTAATATGGTCAATTTTAAAAGCATATTACTAACAAACCATTCAATCAAGGCATTAATATCAACCATTAATATAAATCCATTTATATTACTAAACCATTAAAATAAAATCTATTTTTATTAGGAAATCATTAATACCAAAAAATCATATTCAAATTATCATATACATATATGATTAATCCTTGAATCCGCGGCTCATATTTATTTTCAATCGTTTCTTTTCTTCAAACCTTCTTCTACAACATCATTCTTATTGCTTATAACTTCCATCATCATTCTCTGTTTCAAACCTTCGTTGTTGTGCACTAGAAGGTTAGTACCTTCTTTCGTTTTTTATATTTTTTTCGATTATTTTTTTGTTCCTATATCAAATATATGTATTCATATATTTCGATTTTCTTTGCCACAAATTACATGAAATCGGTTAACTATTTTTCTAAAACATTTCAAATAAATAGGAAAAGATATTACATACATTTAACAAAACAGAAATTAACTATATTGGGAATTGACATTAATTACGAAAATGATACTTTTATATATTAGAGATGATTATGATTTTTTTTTTAATTTTTATATCATAAGAATCCGATTAATTTTGGTATGATTTTAAAATATCATTGAAATTATTATGTTTTTGTATAACATACCAACCTACTTTTTTATCTTTATATAGTAACAATAAAATTTATAAATTTACACAACAAATATACATATTTCGAATTTTGTAGTATTATTATACCTTACAAAATACAACTCCCTCCAAAATAATTTTTGTCAGTAATTTCATCCATAATTTCACCTAATTTAAATTTGTATTTTCTTTATATAAAATTTTTTAATGATCCTGATTTTTTCCTCCAAAAGTATATCAAGCATATACGTATTAGATAATGTTGCCTCATTATAATTATTACTTTCCAAAAATATATATGTTTAATGAGGAATTCGATTTAATGAATGAAGTAAATGTTAATTAAAACAAGATATATATTCCATAATTATTACACAGGTTTATTAAAAAAAATTAATATCAAGGTATAAACATTAAGCATTTTTAAAGTGAAATTTAAGAATACATACAAACGATGATATTGTATAATGAAATATAAAATTGAACAGACTGAAAAAAAAAACTATTATGACAGTCAATCTTGAAAATAGGATAGTTATGAAAAATTATAAAATAAGATAAAAATTATAAGATATTAGGAGACTTGTAAAAAGTACAATTAGTAAAACCATTACGTTTATTAGAAAAAAAAATAAGACCGTTAAGATTAGTAAAAATGCAATATATAAACTAAATTATCAATAGTAATGAAATGTCATTATTTGATATTTCGTATAACTGAAAGATATACCAAATTACATTGATGATATAGTAAAATTATTCAAAGTTACGTCAAGACTAATGCAAAGTTCTTGCGAACACCAAATAAAGAAAAACAAACATAAAAGCTAGCACTTATATGCATAATCAATTTAAAGTAAACCAATCATGATTTAGAAAATAATTTCCATTGATGATATATTAAAATTAAATCCATATAACATTTAACATTCTATAAATTATACTATATGACTTTATTTGAATAAATGAAATAGTTGTCAATATTTAATGCAGTGGAAAAAACGATATATTGGTTGTTAATATACGTTTAAATTAGGAAACCTTATTATGGAAGGAACGTCTAATTAGAATGATTATAATTATATAACAATATCATAACTATATGTGACGAGGAAGGTCGTTCAACTAATAAAACAAAAAATGTTGTCAACAAAGAGGTCTTTCAATGATTATAGATATTTATCGTTTTCAATGTATTTTCTACACATTTCAATAATACCAATAACCATAATTTTCTTTTTATAATTATTATGCAATATCTGTAGACAATTATATGTTTTTTATGTGTTTCTCGTGTTTAATGCGGGTTATAATCTAGTTTTTTTAACAATAAAACTTTATTAGAATGCTAATAAAATGCTAGAAAATGAAAACAACACATTACACATAGCATAAATAGAAAAATTTCGGGGGTTGTGAAGCCAACCAACCTAATTTATCTTAAATTTATTGCTCATATTATATATCCAACTATAAGATTGAATAATAATATTGTCAAAAATCTCAAGGCTTCTTTTTGGTATTGAAAAAAATGTATTTCAAAGCTAACAAATATTTTTGTTGGATTCAGTGTTCAAGTACCCCGTCAATGTACACAATGTGTACAAAGTGAATGCTAGTTCCTTTGTTACTTGTACTGTTCCGCCACCTAGCACCGCCCTTACATCTGGAAATGACGTTGTGACCTTGGTGGCACCCGGCAAGAAGTGGTACATTTGTGGTGTGGAAAAACATTGTGTTGATTTTAACCAAAAGTTGGTCATCGATGTCCAACAAGTATCAATGGCTCCAGCACCCGCACCAAGCAGTGCAACCAAGTTCGGGTCTAAGACTTTCATAATGATCATCTTTGTTTTTGCAATGATGGTCATGGTTTGATTTTGATATATACATTTATTGATTTACTACATGTAAGAATAAGATTACATGGTCTTTTTCTAGGCTATTCGTGAACTTGAGTATGGGCGTTTAACCCTCAAAGAATTTTTTTTTTTTTTTTTTGTGGATTTTTTTGGGAAAAAAAATCTAATACAATTAATAAGAACTTAGATAAATAGTACATGTTTACTGATTTATCTTTGTATAACCGTATATATAATTTGTGTATATGGCATGATAATGATAATGATAATAATGTTATCTGATGAATTAAAGTGAGCTCATGAAAAGTAGAATAGATTCCAACTCAAATATAACAAAATTTTCCTTCTAGTAGTATCATACCAATATGGATATATAAATAACCATATGAATGAAGTACATTACCCTTAAGTAAGTCGAAATGTCATGATTTTTCATAAGTCATTGTTACTTTTCATGGTCAATCTGACAAGCAAATCTCTATAATCCCCGATTGGAATGCTCTCTATTATTGCATCTCTCAAATCCATCTCGTATATGTTCTTGTATAATTTTCTTATATTCTTCATATTAATCTCACTTTGACTCGTGATTATACGTTCCAAGCTGCTCTCATTGGTAGTTTTTCCTTTCATGTTTGTTTCTAGCGCCTGAAATTACAACTTAACAAAATCATAAATATAAAAAATACTTAAAAAATTTGTTTTATATGCTTTTTTATATATTGAATAAACCGAGGAATTAGGATTGCTTGAAGAAACATAAAGTCATGAATCTAAATCTTCATTATATAGTTATTTAATTCCACATTTTATTGGGATATAAGTTATTTTAATATAAACTACCTTTCTTCAAGATCAAAGACTCTTTTTAACTTTTATTTGAAAAAAAACAAGGTAAATTGATCACCTTTGCATAATATTTTGGAGGGTTTCTTAGGAATTTCACCACAAATCGTAGGGCCTCTTGAAACTCACCATGATATTTATTTTTGAAATGCTGCCAAAAAAAAAACAAATTAATTAATCATCATGTTTCAACTATTTTGATATAGTAACATAAATTTTCATGTAAAATAGTAGTCAAAGATTTGACCTTTGTATAGGAATGGCCATAAATATGCTTATATATTGAAAAAGTGAGTTTGAGTTGTGGAATGCTTCTTTTACTTAGGATTTCAAGGACAATTCCCTCATCAATCTTGAACCCTCCACTTGTTGCTTCTCCTGTTTGGAATAGTCTTTGGGCATCACACTTGCCAATGTGTACACTAACATCTGCACTATGAGCCTTTTGTGACGCACTCAATGCCATTAAAATCTGCATAACAAAAAAAACCACTTCTAAGCAACCATTTCTTATATGGGTTGTTGCACACAAAGTTGTACTTTATCAATATGTACAACTATTCATACATAGAGTACATATGTCGATGCACAAAAAAGAAGGATCAAATTTTTTTGTAAGAGTAGGGAATGTGACATGTAATTAACCATTTCTCGGATGGATTTGTACCCAATGTGTGAAAAGCTGTACTTTTGGAAAAGTAAAACAATTATTGCACAATGTACAACCATTGATGCACAAGTCAAGAAAACATACCTTTTGGTAAGAGTGTGGAGGTTCAATGCTCATAATGTCTTGATCCAAGTGCCTTCTGAATTTACTTTGATAAGCTTGTTGAATGAGGAAAAAATGGCTTGATTTCCTACCAACATAAATCTCAATGAGAGCCTTGTAGTTGACACAATCCCTTTCTTTGAAGATGGCATTTTTAGCTACAATAGCATCGCGTTCATGTGGATTAATCATCAACAATGACAAGATTGTGCACGTTTTTGATGCCCCACCATCAATCTTGTTATGTAGATGATCAAATAAGTCTTCATTATACATCTCCATGTACTTTTCTCGGATCTTTTGGCATTCATGTTGCATTGATTGACTCGTGAAAACCCGAACCAAGAGGGTAATATTTCCCAAATTGCCATGAATTTGTTTGCAAATATCTTCAATTGAACTTTGGCTTATTGGTTCTTCCATTGTTGGTTTAAGGTTCAATTCAATGTATGTGTTGTATATATAGAAAAAGCATGACTTGGAAGGCAAGGGTGTGGTCTCATGGAGTCATGGTCCACTAGTATAAATGGTTATTTTTCTTTTGTTTTTTTCTTGAGAAAGTTGTGTACTTTTCCCATGAGAAAGTTGCCCCATTCCAAGTGTGGTCAACTATGATTAGTAGAACAAGAGTTGCTGAATTTGATTATGTTCTATATTCGTTGTATATTTTATTTGATTGATCTTCAAATGGATTTGTTTAGCAAGAGGGAATGCAATAATATATCTTAATTCTAGTTATATATTTTTGTCATACCAAAAATCAAACTTCCGATATTATAATATTTTATAGGCTAATACAACAAAAAATGAATAATGTGATTTCTTGAAAATTGAAGTGCCTATTTAACTTCGCATTGTCATTTTTACTATAAACATATTTATTTTAATGATTTACTTGATTACAAAATAAAGGGAAAAGTAATACAAAAGAAGGGTTTGTCTTTTATTTCCTTTTTTCCATTGTGTAGAGACCAAGTGTAGGCTGGCAAGTGATATGTGAGTGTACCTTCGTTTTGTTATGCAAAAGTGCATCAAGAAGCTTTTGTATTTTAGTGATCTAATGGATTTCCTTGTAGACAGTGAGTATGAAATTGACGAACCTCGTCATAACTTAAAAAATTTACCAAGTGGTAGGAATTTGTTAACTTAACTTAGAGCTTTAACTTTATATAGTATGTTTATGTATTATTAAATAGATTCTACAAAACAGATTGTGCATTATCAAATAAATTATATACAAAATGCATCAATAAATCAAAAGGAGTAAAAAATACATGTAAATCAAAACTAGATCAAGAAAAAGTTAGGTATGAATGAAGTATGAATGGGTTGTGTGTGATGATAGTGTAATCCTCAAAGGACATAATAAAGGTTACCTTTAGGTGAGATGATGTGTACATGGAAATGTAATAATAAGATACATGCTTAAAAGTTGAATAAATTATTAACGTGTCATATACAACCCAAATGATCATTATTTTTAGAACTTTTAAAACATTACTGGTCTAATGTAGAGCTGGCAATGAGTCGATCTGGATTGGGTTCGGGTTCAACCCAATTATTAATTGGGTTGAAGATTTCAACCCAATCCAACCTGTTTATTTAAATGGGTTAATATTTTCAATCCAACCCAACCTTTCAGATAAATTGGTTGTTACCAGGTTGACCTGTTTATGTAGTTTGCAACCCAACTTATTAGAAAAATTGATTAAATTTGGGTTGACTAATTTAAAATAAAAATAAATTAATTAATTAACTAAAGATTACGCCGATTACGCCAGTTAAATTAGTTATAGACTTAAATAAAATTTCAAAGTATGACAAAATCACAATTATTCACATATACAAAGAAATTGTTCAAATAACATTAAATATATGTAATTCATAAGTGATTTTGGAGAGTGGCTAGTGTTATCGATGCCAAGAAAAAAAAGATAAGAATTAGGATTCCGTTTTTTTAAGACATAGATAATAATATGAAAATTGTAATTTATAAACGAATGCTTAGATTAATATATGATAATATTTAAATAATTATTAAATTAAATATGAATTAAAGTTAAATGGGCTGGTGGGTTGAAAACGGATTGATAATTTTTACGCGACCCAACCTATTTAATTAAATGGGTTAGACGTGTTAACCTATTTAACTTAAATCGGTTGAAAATGTCAACCCAACCTGTTAATTTTGGGTTGAGTTGATGGGTTGGATTGATTTTTGCGACCTCCAGTCTAATGTATAATATTATATATAAAAAAGCATGGCTCGGGTCCCGCATGAACCACACTATGTCTCATCATATTTAGGTGCACATGGATGACAAAACCTTCTCTTTCTTGTGTTTATTATGATCTCTCTTTCACATAGATGTGTATGAAAAATACACTATGACACCATTTAACAGAAAATTCGATGCATTCATAAAAGAAAATCCAGGAAAAAAATCCAATTTTCATAAATATGTCAATTACAATACCTTTTTTTTTTTTTCTTTTTTGTGTTTGGAGGAAAAGAAGATTGCATTGGTGTATCATGTTGCTCCAAAGATCAATTTTGCCAATAAATTATTTTGTCATATTACCATTTTACCTTTACTTTTCCACTTTTTAATGGTAATTTGACAAGGGTTTAACAGATTGCTACGAATGGTGTTAGAAACAAAGACCAAAAGCTTTTTGTAACCCTGAAATTGAGATCAAAGTTGATAAAATAGTTCTTTTTTCGACCCAAATAAAAAAACAAAAACCACATGCTTACATAAGAAACTAAAAAGAATTGCACATAAACGACAAATTAATGTAAATTCATTTCACTTTTTATATGATTTTGTAACCAAATGCTTACATGAGAATCTATCCCACATTTCACCATATTAGGTAGCAACTCATGTATCGAATGAACATCACCCACAACATGAAAAGCATACATCATCCCTGTATAAACCCTAATATCAGGAACTACACCATTGTTAAACATCATCCTCAAAAAACCCTTTGCTTCATATGTCAAACATCTTTTACACAACCGATTAATCACACCACTATAATCCCTAACACTCACTTCAAACCCCATTTCCACCATTTCAGAGAACACCTCCATTGCTCGATCCACATCACCCTTCACACAATGTGCTTTAATAAGAATCGTATAAGCAGCCTTCTTCAATTCAAAATCATGCTCCCTTAAATACAAGAATAACTTATCAGCATCATGTAAATCACCATACACACATAACCCATTCATAAGAATGTTATATGTAACTGCATCAGGCTTAAGATTATGTGACATCATTTCATCATGTAACTCAAACGCCTTTTCAATTTCTCGAGCTTTACACAAAGATTGAATCAAAATATTGTATGAAACTTCATCAGGAAAAATCCCATTTGAGAACATATGATTAATCTGTAAAAGAGATTCTTGAAGCTTTTTTTGTTTACAAAGACTTTTTATAATTACAGTGTATGTGACATGAGTTGGATCTACACCATTATCTTCCATTTCCTTTTTCATATCAAACACTTTTTGCATATTTCCCTCTTCACAAAAAAAGTTCATAAGAGTGGTGTATGTTATCGCATTAGGTACTAATCCATGATCCTCGATGTTATGAAATGACCTCATTGCCCCTATCAAATCTCTAGCTTTACAAAATCCATATATTAAAGAATTAAACGTGACAATAGTGGGATCGATTCCTTTCTCTAATATTTGATCAAACAATTGTTTACTCTCACGATTCATACCGAGTTTTGCATACTTATTGATCATAATATTGTAAAGAACAATATCTTGAATATCAATATCATCACTACTAATTAACATATCAAAGTGCTTTCTTGCTTCAAAAACCGATCCTCTCCCACAAATCCCCAATAAAACAGCTCTATGAGTGAAAACATTAGGAAAGATTCTATTGTTGCACATTTCCATGTATACTTGAATAGCTTTTTGAATCTCCCCTTGTTTACAAAAACCATGAATGATGATTGAATACATAACAACATCGGGTTTTAAACCATCTATTTCCATCTCATAAAGCAAACACAAAGCTTCATCAACACGCCCAATCTTACATAAACTACTTACCAAAACACTATATGAGATAAAGTTTAATTTACACCCATAAAAAACCATTTCATTTTTCAAGTTTATGCTTTCATCAACTTTTCCTTCTTGACAATTCCCACATATGAGTAATGTATATGTGATACTATTAGGGTTCTTCAAACCTTTTGAAAGTGTTTCTTGAATCATCTTTGATGCTCCATTGATCTTACCAAGAACATGAAACCCTTTAGCAAGTGTGTTGTATGTTATTGAATCAGGGTTTACTCCATGTTTGACCATGTCATTGGTCAACTTCAATGCATCTTGAATAGAACCCGCGATGCATAATCCATTAATAAGAATATTGTAACTATATGCATCGGGTTTTACTCCAAACTTTAACATCAAACAGAAAATCGATTGAGCAATATCTACAAATCCCATTTTGGAGAAACTTGACATGACTGTGTTAAATGAAGCAACATGAGGTGAGGAATCTTTGACATGAAGAAGGGTTATTGCTTCTTGCATTAAGGATTGTTTACATAAACCATCTACAAGGATGGAATTTGTTTGTTTTGTTTCTTGGATTCCACTCTCTTTGATGTCATTGTACACATCCCACATGCTATCAGAGTGTCTTAAGTTGTGTAATAAGCTGTTGTAGGTTAGTATTGAAGGTTGAATGTTGAAATCTTTCATTTTGGCTATAATGCAAAGGGCATCATGAACCATGTTGGATCTAGAGTAAGCAAATGCCAATATGTCCCAAACAACTGCATTTGATTTCCAATCCTTGAAGTCAACTGAAAGTAACTCACAAATTGAAGAAGAAGAGCCAGAGCCTATCAGAAGAAACAATAAACATGCATATTGATTTCCATGTATAACATTTTCAATTGATAACAATTTACAAAGATTTGAAATGAAACAGAAGTTGTGATTATAAGCATTGAATTGAGAAGTAAAATTTTCAATTCATAGCAATTTACTAATCTGTTTTCAGCTGTTTACCATCTACGACCTCTTTTGTCAAATGCCTAATGATGCCTCAATAAGAGAAACATTATCATTGTGCACATAATTTCGAATTCCAAAGTGATTTTTAACTATTTCTATGTACAGAGCAATAGAGAAACATCAGAAAAATACCTTCTTCTTGAAGCATTTGCATGAAGTTAGAACGCAGCAACTTAAGCCTTCGCTGACTAGCCAGCACATGAGCAATAACGAGCTGAGAAACTCTCGAATGCTTAAACCCATACTCATTCTTCAATAATTCAAACAACTCGACAGCAGAATCTGGGTCGTCGTTTCGCAAGTGATCTATAATTTCATCAACCTGAGTGGAATTCAGATCAGAAACAAGGGTTTTAAACCGATGTTTCACACCGAGTAATTTGACACCAGAGCTACCCAATACTTTAAACAGGGAGAGGATACCAGAAGGTAAGGAGCCGTTTGCAGCTGGTGAAGTGGTTGAAGGTTCTAGTTCAAGGGATTCCGCAGATAACAATGATGAAGATTTAGTTAAAATGAGGGTTGCAGGACTTAGCGAAGGAAAGGGAAGACGAAGAAGTGATTGGCATTGATGTCTAATACGATTGAGCATGAATCGATTGTGGTTCAGTCGAAAGGGGGTATTTCTGGCGCCAATCGCATCATAGGCACCGACAATTTGCGAATGAATCAACAAAGAATTAGGTTTTTAAACATGAAGCGGAAATGGTTTCAGTAAAACCCAATAAAGGAAGGGGGGAAGTAATATCGTTTGGTCAAACTACAAAGACCTTGATGATAAAAATGACCACGACCATTTTAGAGTTTTTAACCAAAATAAGGTAATTAGATTTCCTAATTTAGTATAGTTTCAAAAATATTTATCAAATCGGTATTTTTATTTTTTTATTTTTCAGTTTTTCGGGTTTAAAAAAAAAAAAAAATACCAGATTTTTTCAACTGAAGAGTATCTTTACTTTTGTATATCTCGTTTTTATTTCAAATTTCGCACGGCACTCTTCATAATTTCCATCTCCATTTAAAATTAATTGAACTTTTTAATTCATCTAATCACTTATAATAATTATTATGTTATTGAAATTAAATATAAAATAGTAATTCGAAAAATTATTCACTTGCATCATTATTTTCTTTACTAGCCAGCAAAGATATTTTTATTCGTCCCAAAAATTACATGTAGTAATTGTATTTACAAGTGAATAATACATCAATAGTATAATCAACACAACATACATATAATACATCAATAGTATAATCAACATAACATACATTAAAATCATTACTAATACCATAAACTACAACAAAAATTTACAAATGATAAAATTGTAAGAGATTGGTTACTACTTTATGAAATTCCTCGTCAAAAGATTAACATTTTCACAAATATTAAAAGAAAAATGAACTATTGAATGTTTAGATAATCTAAGTATATAATTTTTTAGATTATTTTTAAAATTTAATTTAATAAAATAATTATCATTATATATGATTGAATGAATTAAAGAGTTTAATTGATTTTAAACGAAGATAGAAATCATAAACGAGTCCCATGAGAAATTTTAAATAAAAAAGGGACATACAAATATAAATATAAAGATATTCTTTAGTAAAAAAAGACAAAATTACAAAAATGGTCCTTGTGTTGACAAATTCATGTGCTTTTGGTCCAAAACGAAACGTTGGTGTATCAGTGGTCCAGTTTCAGATATTTTGTGTGCTTTTGGTCCCTATGGTTGGTATTTTGATGTGGTTTTGGTCCATACCTCACCTGAAATGACCAATATGCCCTTAAATATTTCATTTTAACTTATTTTATTTACCTTAGACAAAATTGCAAAAATGGTCCTTGTGGTTTGTCAATTTCTATGGGTAAGGTCCAAAAAAAGTTTATTAGCAAAAAAGGTCCCTAATTGATGGTTTTGTTGTGGTTTTGGTCCCTATCTCGTTAAGTTTAACAGCATGGTTGTTAACTTTTGGCAATTGACGGATTTACCCTTGGGACTATTTTTGTAGTTTTTTCTTTTTACCAAACTATAAGGACCAATTATGCAATTTTTCTTTTTCATTTTATTGAATTATTAAATAATTGAATTACTTTTTTCTTTTTAACTTTTTCCTTATTGTATTATTTTTTATTGGATCATTATATATTAATAAATATTATTTTTAATATATTATATTTATATATCAATAAATATTACTTTTTTTATTAATTTTTTTTAATTAATTTTGTTTGAATTTCTTCTTTATTGCATTAATTCTTTTTTGTTGAACTATTATATATTAATAAATATTATTTTTAACAATAAAGAAAGAAATTAAAATAAAATAAAAAAAATTAAATAAATATTATTTATTATAAATAAAAATAATAAATTTAAATTAATAATCCAATAAAAAGAACTAATGCAATAAAAAATAAAAAAAATAATTAAATGAAATTAATAATCCAATAAAGTAACACTTACTAATAGATAAATAGTACTCCCTCCGTCCCAATATTATTGTCCACAGACAAAAAACACACAGATTAAGAAAAACATTAATTACCATTAACTTTATATTATAAAATGACAGTTTTGTCCTTACTGTGCATTTAATGTTCCATTAAATTCTTAGTTGGTTAAGTAATAATGAGGGGGTATTTTGGTAAAAATGTTATTTATTTTTAGAAGTGGACTATTATTTTGGGACAAACCAAAAAGGAAAGATGGACTATAATTTTGGGACGGAGGGAGTATGTGCTAAAAATAATATTAGTTAATATATAATAATCCAATAAAAAAGAATTAATGCAATAAAAAAGAAATTAAAAAAATCAATTAAAAAAATAAATCATAAAAAAGTAATATTTATTAATATATAAATATAATATATTAAAAATAATATTTATTAATATATAATAATCCAATCAAAAGAATTAACGAAATAAAAAAATTAAAAAAAAATAATTAAATGAATTTAATAATCCAATAAAATAACACTTACTAATAGATAAATATTATATGTTAAAAATAATATTTATTAATATATAATAATCCAACAAAAAATAATTAATGCAATAAAGAAGAAATTCAAAAAAAAAATTTTAAAAGTAATATTTATTAATATATAAATATAATATATTAAAAATAATATTTATTAATATATAATAATCCATTAAAAAAATAATACAATAAGAAAAAAGTTAAAAAGAAAAAAGTAATTCAATTATTTAATAATTCAATAAAATGAAAAAGAAAAATTGCATAATTGGTCCTTATAGTTTGGTAAAAAGAAAAAACTGCAGAAATAGTCCCAAGGGTAAATCCGTCATTTACCAAAAGTTAACAGCCATGTTGTTAAACTTAACGAGATAGAGACCAAAACCACAATAAAACCATCAATTAGGGACGTTTTTTGCTAATAAACTTTTTTTTTGGACCTTACCCATAGAAATTGACAAACCACAGGGACCATTTTTGCAATTTTGTCTTTAACTTATTATTATTTTAACTAAAAGAAAAGAAATTACTACCCCCCACACCACCCCACCCCCCCCATCTCTCTCTCTCTCTCTCTCTCTCTCTCTCTCTCTCTCGGGTTAGGATTTAGGGGACATTGTGCAGAGATTGTTTGAAATTTTTGAAGAAAGAATAACCAATTGTTTTTTGAAGAAGGAAGGTTGAATGAGGGGTTGTTAGCGTCAACTGAAGAACCCTAAAGTCGTCGTCATCGACCACTTGAATTAGGAGGGGAATGTCAATCGCAGATCCTTGAAATCGACTTCGTATCCCCTCAACTAGATCTGATTTATCCGGATTTGGATTTTGATTCAAAAATTTGCAGCGACAGCTGGTGGCGACGTGCAGCAGGAGGCTGCTCTAGTGGTCTCTTGCTGCTTCGTTCCTGCTTCTGCTCGATGGAAGTGACGAGTTGGAGATGAAAGGGGAAGGATTTCGACAATAGCAGTTATGGAGGATGGTAGCAGTGGGTTGTCGGGTTTCCTTCTTTCTCGTTTTCCCGGCAACTTTGATGGGAGGAGGTGGTTGGAGGAACTGTGGATGGCGACGTGTGGTATTTGAGGGTTCTTGGGTGGTGTTTGATTAATCTAACTGTAGGGGATATAAAGTGGAGTTTGTGGTGGGTTATTGGTGTGGTTCACGGTGGTCAAAAGACATCGGTGGTGGTTTTTAGTGGTGGTCGATGGTTACAACAACAACACCACCACTCCTTGGTGGTGCTTGTTCTCGAAAGTGAAGGAAGAAAGGTAAACAGAAAACATGAAGGTTGGGTAGTATTTGGTGGTGATTTTGGTCAATAGAGGGTGGTGCAAGGTGGTCCTATGGTGGGGTAAGGGGGTGGTGAAATGGTGGTGTTTCAGAACTAATGAATTTGGGTTGTAGATTCGTGAGCTTTAGAGGGTTATGCCCTATATTTAACACCATTTCAAGAAGATGGGGGAGGTGAATGGTTACGAGGAGAAAAAGAAGAACTGATTAATTTTCTTTCATTCACTTGTATATGGCTTCAATTTGATCAGGGAAGGAAAGTGCTTTAGCATGTTTCCTCATAAGTCCATTTGACATTCACAAGTCAAAGAGACGAAAGGAGGGAGGGAGAGAGAGAGAGAGAGAGAGAGAGAGGGGGAGGGAGGGAGAGAGAGAGGTGTTTTTGTATTTTCAATTAGTTGAAAACATTAATATAAATAAAAAAATGGAAAAACAAACTGTAAGGGCATAATGGTCTTTTTAAGTAGATAGGGACCAAAAATGATAGAAATATCCAATTTTGGACCCGTGGTGCACCAACGTTTCGTTTTGGACCAAAAGCACATAAATTTGTCAACCATAGGGACCATTTTTGCAATTTTGTCATAAAAAAACTAATAAGAAAATAAAATAAAACAATAAGAAAAACTAAAAAATAAAATAAAAATAAGAAAAATATTAATTTAATAAATATTTTTGAAACTGTGCTAGATTGGTAAATACTTTTTTCATTAACCCTATTTTGATATAAATAAATAAATAAATAAGTAAAAAACCTCCACCGTTTTATCCAACACAAATTACTTTGTTGTAGCATTATATACTTTTAAGGGAAATTGTAGAAAACCCCCCAATATTTTTGGAAAAGTTACACTTTAGTCCTATTTTTTTAACAGAAAAGTCCTGATTTCTTGATTTTACACGATAATATGTCATTTTCTGTTAAAAAATGATTTTTTTTTATTAATTTGAGCCAAAATAAAATAATCAGGATTTTTATGTTCAAATTATTTTTTTATTAAAGTGGAACTTTTCCGAAAATATTAACACTTTTTTTTGACAATTTCCCTAATTTTAACGGTATCATGTGAAATCGAGGTACCGTTCCTAAAATCTCGAGTCACAATCCGAATCGCGATCCGGTTTTCGATATCGACAATAGCTTCAACGCATGATACGAATGTGAGTTCACGGCCCCCATTTTTAAGCTACTTAATTCTTTTGGGGAAGAATACGTGCAAAATACTCGTTATTATTTCATATAAACGTTTTAATTTATTATCGAAATGTTTATATAATTATAAAAATGGTGATATATATGTTTGATAAAAACTAGTTATTT